TCGAGTATAGAACCGCGTTGTACCCCATTAGGTGGAAGTAAATCAGTTTGAGGAAAGACTTTTTCAAAAATTAAAGAAAAATTTTAAATTTCTTTTACCAGCTTCAGGCCCTTGCCCAGCAACTTCTACAGGATCAGAAAATATTATTACAGCACCAGCACCCCTTGCGGCTGCATGTTTTACTTTATCACCACGGTAGTCTAGTCCATAACGAATTATTGCAATTTTGCCTGAACAAACGAAACAATATGTTTTACAATTACAATTTGAATGTTTTACAATTGTTTTCGAGAATTACAAAAGAAATTACTCATGTTTTCCGGAAAGTTTGTAAGTTCGTATAAATTACAATTTGTGTGTTTCCCAGAGTTTATATGTTCAAGGAAATTACAATTTGAATGTTTTACAATTAATTAAAATGTTTTTGTGTTTTTGTGTGTTTTCCGGAATTTTTATGTTCGAGGAAATTACAATTTGTGTATTTACAGCTTTCCTTTTACAATTTGTAATACAATTTTAATGTTTTGCAATTGTTTTCAGGAATTACAAAACAAATTACTCACATGTTTTCCGGAAAGTTTGTAAGTTCGTATAAATTACAATTTATAAATTACAATTTGTATGTTTCCCAAAATTTACATGTTCAAGGAACTTACAATTTGCGGTTTTTGTTCCCAACTTTCCGTTTACAATTTGTAATAACGTTTACAATTTACAATTTGTAATAATCAACGCTTACCATGTAGACTTGAAATTCCAAATTCCTTTTCCAAACGTTCAAAATCCTTAGGTTGGCCATAATGACAGTAGACAGGTTCACTTTCAGTTGTTCCATTCGCACTGTATGCTAGCCATTGTATAGCAGCACGATAGGAATCTTCTTGATTTAAAGAGGAGTCTTCATTTTTAGGCGTCAAGTCGGGACTGAGGCCAGTTGATTGGAACAACACTTTTCCATCCTCCCCAAGAACAGTTACTTTATTTGGATTTGTCCAGTTTGGATAAGAAAGCAAAACATCATATTCCATCAATCGAACCTCTGAAAAATTTAGGAAAAAAATTTAATTCGAAAAAAAATTTTTTTATTCACTTTCCAATCCATTCTGTTTCCATAATTCTGCCAACTTTTGCCCAACACGCCTATTCTCTTCTGTACCAGCCTGGTGAGGTTGTTGTGTTACCATTCTCAATGTATCTGTCATTTTGTTAGAATCAAACGAGGAGAAAAGAAGTTTTCTGATGTCTATAAAATAAACTTGAAATATTACAAATTGTAAAACAGGTTGTAAAAGGTAAACAAGTTTGTAAAAACAAGTTGTAAGAACAGACAAACAAAATAGTAACCAAACGAACATTTAAAAAAAAGTTGGGAGAAACATAAACTAAACGTTACAATTGTAAAACATCAGAAAAACACAAAAAGAAACTTAGAAAACAAAACAAACATTAACAGAAACAAAGAAACAAAACAAGTTTTTCCAACAGAAACATTCTTTCCTAAAACAAGTTGTAAAATGAACAAATTGTAAAACATGTTGTAGACAAAACATTGTAAATAGAAAAACACAAAAACAAACATCACGAAACGAACATTGAAATCAAAAACACAAACAACATAAATATTGTTTCTTAAACAAGTTGTAAAACAAACAAACTGTAAAACAAGTTGTAGAAAAACATTATCAAATGGAAAAACACAAAAATGAATAACACAAAACAAACATCAACAAAAACACAAACAACTAACCGTCTTCAGTAAATCCACTAGTAACATTAGGCAGCTCGATATGCTCTTTACTATCCCCGACTATTGCAACAACCATTAAAGATGCAAAACATACAGCCATAATTAACAAACATTTGTGCATAATGGACATTGAAGAGAAGTGGTACCACGGTCGTTGATTTATTTTGGAATCGGTTAAACCAGTCAAATCGCTCTTTTGGTCTGAACGTACTAAGTGAGAGTTTTGTCCACGAAGCATTCTTATAAATTAAAAACTAAAAAGGGTAAATATATTTAAGTGTATGGTGTACACAGAATTTTTTTGCAAAAGTAAAAAAATAAAATAATTAACTGATAAGAATAAAATAATTATTAATTTACCCCGCTAGTTGTTTAACATGAGGAAAAATATACAAGATAAACCAGCACCAGTTAATGTTAATTAATGATCAATAATCATGTGATGGTTATTGCATTAAGGAATTGTAAAACATGTTTGAAAGATGTTTTCCGGAAAAGTTTTAATTTGTAAAACAAGTTTTACAAATGCTTGTTTTATTCACAAACAGGTCTTCCGGAAAATGTTTTCTGGAAAAGTTTTAATTTGTAAAACATGTTTACAAATGTTTGTTTTATTTACAAAATAGTCTTCCGGAAAATGTTTTCCGGAAAAGTTTTAATTTGTAAAACTCGAACATTTGTAAAAACAAGTTTACAAATGTTCGTTTCATTTACAAACTAATTTTCCGGAAAATGTTTTCCGGAAAAATTGTTTTAGTTGGAAAAATGTTTTTAAGAGAGAAACATGTTTTGATATACTTAATTTGTTTTGCAAACAATTTACAATTTGTAAATTAAATAAACTTTAATCCTTTCAAAAATTTTATACCGGAATTTAAATAAATACAGGTGAATAATAAAATACAAAAAAAGGCAGAGAAGGAAAAATGTTGGCAGGCAATGATTAAAAAGTGAAGTTGTTATATTGGTTAAAATTGGCAAAAAAAACAATAAATCAATTACGCGATAACAAAAAAAATTTTTTAATAGAATGTACAAAAATCTTAAGTGAAAATTAATTGCCAAAAAATTAATATGTATATACCGATTGAGATTGCATTGAAAAAATGAATTTTTTATGTGGTAGTTCATATGAAATAAATAAATTGATTTGTGGTATAAAGTTGTAATACCCAAGAAAATTTTTTTAATTTCTAGACATCAAAAAATTTAATTTTTGGGTATTACAAAATGGTTAAAAGATAAAAAAAAATTTTTTTGTGTATAATACACGAGTTGAGACCAATCGAACACAACAAAAGTAGTTCGCAACCTGAATAAGTGGTGTGTAATTAAGTGGTTTTTAAGGCATGTTTTGGTGATTATCAAGTTTTTATTTTTTGTTTTATCAAAATTTAAAGAAAACAAAAACTTGACAAAAACATTCAAGTGGTAAAACAAAAAATATGAGCAAGAAAAAAAAATACAATTGTAAAATATAATTGTTAAGGTGTTAGGATGTTTTTCACAATTTGGAATGTTTTGTGTGGAAAGCAACGAAAAAAAGGTTAAAAACAAAAGTTAAAAACACTAGAGAAAAACATTTAGAAAAACATTTGTTTAAAGAAAAAGCACTGAGTTTAAACCAGAGCTAAAAACATATATAATTGTGCAAGAGAATTGTAAACTTTAAAAAATCAAGAAAAAGAATGGAAACACAAATTACAATTCCGGAACCTTTCCGGAAAAAATTACAAATTGTAATTCTGAAAATAAAATAAAGATTGTAATCAAAAAAATATTGTTTTTACAATTCCGGAAGAGATAGAAATTGTATATTATCAGAATTACAATTTGTAACTCTTCCGGAATTGTAAAAAATTATTTTTCCGGAATACAATTTTTATTTTATTTTTAGAATTGCAATTTGTTATGTTTCCGGAATTGCGAATACTTGAACAAATTACAATTTGTAAATGTTTCCAACTTTTTTTACAAATCTGATAATAGTGTGTAAAACAAAAAAATAAATCAAAAAATAAATATAAACAAAATCAAAAATATGTTGTGTCGCAAAAAAATCAAGTGTGAGTTTCTGTTTTTAAAAATATTGTATACTGGCAGAAAACAAAAAAAAACAATATTGAGTTATTTTTAAAGAAAATATAATGAAGTTCAAGACCATGTACAACAAAATAAGTAGATGAAAAATGTGAAAAGAAAATGAATAAAATAAATATATAATAAATAAACGAATAATCAAAAGTATGACTACTAATCACAAACTTATCTCCGGTAAATGTCTATATTTTTATATGTTTGTATGTTGGTAAAAAACAATTGTAATTTTATTATAAAAATGTTTTTACAAATACGAAATTAAAATTGTAATTGCAAAATGTTTTTACAAAAAAATGTTTGTTTTGATGTTTATTTTGATAGAAATGTTTGTTTTGATCAAAATGTTTGTTTTGATGTTTGTTTCGATAAAAATGTTTGTTTTGATTAATTTTAAGTTTGTAAAACATTTTACAATTATGAATTTAATTTTGTATTTGTAAAATGTTTTGACTCAAACATTTACAAATATAAAAAATGTTTCTAAAACTTAAACATTTTACAACTACAACTTTTTGTTTTTGTAGTTGTAAAAACATTTTTGTAATAAAATTACAATTGTTTTAATAAACAATCAAAAACATAAAAAGCGCATCCCGCCTTGAGTATAGCGTGCCAAATAAAGGGGAAAGGGTTAGTTTGATATTGGTGGGAGATAAAAAAAGATTATATAATTTTTAGTAAGGGGATTTTTAATTTTGATAAATTTTAATTTTTAAAAATGTTAAAGGTTGAGGGGGAATATTTTTTGAAAATTTTAATATTTTTTAAAGGCAATCGCTCCTCTCGGGATGGGACATTTCCGGACAAAAAAAAATTTTTTTTATTTATAATCTCATCATAACTCTAAAAAATATCAAGTAAAAATTTTCTTTTCCAACATTTTTTTACCTAAATTCCAGCCAATAGCAACGTCCAATCAGAACAACTTTTCCTCTTCTTCTCATCCTTGTTTTTGCTGTTATCATTGACGCCGCCAACAAGTTTTGAAACATCAAAAGCTAAACTATCAGGAGAAATTCCCATTGTTGTTGCAATTAATCCAAAGAATGGGGCAAGTAAACTTTAAAAAAATTTTTCAAAAAAATTTTTTGAGAATCTCCCAAACCTAATGTCATCAATACAAAAATATCGCCTAATCATCAATTCCCCTTCCTCAAATAAATGTTGTCTTCGACTGCGTAAGGCGCAAAATAGAAGACAGGCAGCAGCTTGAATTGAACAAAGTTGTGTAGCCAAAGTGAGATCTGAAAATTTTAAAAATTAATGGGAGTTTTACATAATAACTCTCAAATTTATTTTAATTTTGGGCAATTTTTTTAAAAATCGGGAAAAATTAACTGTTTTTACAATTCCGAAACAATACAAATTGTAATTCTTAAAAAACAAGTTCCTGAATAGTCTTGTTTTCTGATCCGGAATCACAATTCGTAATATTTACTTTCCATATATTTACATTTACAAATTCCGGAAACATTACAAATTGTAATTAAAAAACAAGTTTATGTTAAATACAATTCCGGAAAACTTGCAAATTGTAAATATAGAAAAAGTATGTATGTAGTACAAATAGAAATACTGGAAAGGAATAATATTTACATATACAAAAGTACAAATTGTAATTCTTAAGAAAAATAAAACTTGTAATTGTAAATAAAAAAAAATTATAATTAAAATTCCGGAAAGAATAAGTTTACATATTACAATTCCGGAAAATGTTTATATATTAAAAATACGAATTACAATTTGTAATAAACTTGTGTTTTTGTTTGTCAAACAAATTACAATTTGTAATAAACTTGTGTTTTTGTTTCCCAAACAAATTACAATTTGTAATAAACTTGTGTTTTTGTTTCCCAAACAAATTACAATTTGTAATAAACTTGTGTTTTTGTTTCCCAAACAAATTACAATTTGTAATAAACTTGTGTTTTTGTTTCCCAAACAAATTACAATTTGTAATAAACTTGTGTTTTTGTTTCCTAAACAAATTACAATTTGTAATATACTTGTGTTTTTGTTTGACAAACAAATTACAATTTGTAATAAACTTGTGTTTTTATTTTAAATTATAATTCAAATATATAATTTACAATTACATAATTTCAAAAAAAAATACTTTTCTTTTACACAAAAAAATTCTTTTATTATTATTTAATTCGTTTCCCTAATTTATTAATTATTCTTTTTAATTTTACTATTTTTTCATCTTTTACACATGTCCAAATTTATATTTTTTAATCTTTAATTTTTTTTCAAAATTTTCTTCGTCCTTTTATATTTTTGAATATTAATAAATTCACCAATTTACTTTAAACTTTAATTCAAAAATGTCCAAAAATGTCCAAAAATTACCGAAAAAGGGCCTAAAAACTTTAAAAAAAGTTCATCATCATCCGTCATCAAAAATCATTTTTATTTTACCCTTTCCCTTCTCTCCCCCCCCCCCCCAAAATTTTTAAAGCTAAAAACAAATAGCATATACTCACATTTAATTTTTCAAAAAAAAAATAATTTCCATTTTTTCCCTCCCTCTCTACTACCCATTACCTAATTTTTAAATAAAAAAAATAATTATTTTTTTAATACTTTTAGTGTATGATGGCTTCTTTGTCTCTCTTGTTTTTAAAAAAGTCAACAACACATTAAGCAAAAGGCCGGAAGGAATATAACTGGATGAAAAAATGTCGGAAGATTTTCAAAAATAAAAAATAAAAAGCACGCGTTTTTAAAACTCATCTAAAATATAAAAAATAATTTTGTGTGTAAATTTGAAAAAAATAACGGAAAAATGAGGAAAAATTAATTATTTTTTATGAGGAAAAATTAAAAAATAAAAGAAATAAAATTTTTAAAAAAATTGTTGAAGGATTTTTAAATGAATAATAAAGAAAATAAAGTTTGGCGTGTGTAAAGTTTTTAGTGAAAATTATTTTTTTAAATGTATTGTTTTAAATAGAGCAGAAAAAAACACACAAAATTGGACGTCTTTTTAAACTTGGAAGAGGAAAAAAAATAGTATAAATTCTGATTTTAATAATTCTGATTTCTTTAAAATAATTCTGATTTTTTAGAATAATTCTGGTTTTATTAAAAATTCTGATTTCCTACATTAATTCTTACATTCTTAAATAATTCTGATTTTTAATAATTCTGATTTTTTTCAATAATTCTGGTTTTTTAAAATAATTCTGATTTAATAATAAATCTGATTTTCTACACAAATTCTGTTATTTAAATAATTCTGATTTTCAAAATTTAAAATAAAATCTCAAAATTTCTGATTTATACAATTTTACAATTCTGATATTTTTAATTTTATTTAAATTCTGCTATACTAAATTCTGCAAAGTAAATATATATTAATACTTAATTTTACAATTTCTGGTTATTTTTATTTCTTTTTTAGTATTTAATTTATAATTTATGTATTGTTATTGTTTTCAGGATAAATACATTTAAATATTTAGTTCAAAATTTATTTATATTTACATAAAATAAAAATACCGGAATTAATCTCTTTTAAAGGAATTTTTAAAAAAAAATTTTGGTATCCCGCAGAGAAAAAATAAAATAAAAAGAATTAATAATAATAAACGTGTTGTGTATGTATTTATTTAAGGACACACAATATTTAAAAAAAAAGAAAAGAAGGAAAATTTAATTTTTAAAAACAAAAGAAAAAAGCTTCTATTTTCACTCTTATATTATTTTTAAAAAATATATTACTTAATCTTTCATCAGTCAAAAAAATATTAATATAAATATAAAAATACACATCTGTCTAAAATACTTTAAGGATAGTAAAAATATTTTCACAATTCTATTTAAATTTAAAAATAAAAAAAGAAAGCTGAAAGAAATAGAATTTGAAAACCAGAATTATTAGTAAAAATCAGAATTTAAATTATTATAGATATTTCTTTTCTCTCTTACTTAATTTAACAAATATTCAAAAAATACTTCTAAAAAACAAAAAAAAATTAGAAAGTTTTTTATAAATCCCTTTTAGCTCTCCCAAAAAATAAAAATTATTAAAAAAATATTTTTTCCAAGTAATTTAAAAAAATTAAAAAGAAATTTTTGACAAAAACCACTTTTTAGTTCTCCCGAAAAAATATAAAAAAATATTTTTCTAAAAAATATTTTTAAAAATCCTATTAATTTATTTCTTCCAATATTAATTTAACCATTTAAATAAAAAAAATAATTAGTAATTAATTAATTAATAAAAAATCCAAACAACAATACCCACCACATATTCCCACATTTAAAAAATGTCAACAACAGGAAACAAACAAATTAACAAATCTTTCATTAATTTTTTGCTAAAAAATAAATTTTTTTTTCAGTTTCTTTGTTGTCCCAAAACGCGCTGAAAAATGGGAAAAAATGCGGTTTTTGCTCGACTAAAAAAAATTAATTTTTTTGCCAGCAATTTTTCTTTAATAAAATATATTTTAGCCTTTCTCTAGTTGTTGAAATAAATATTTTTAGCCACAAAAAATTTTTTTCAACCAAAAAAACTCTAGCCTTTTAATCGCGCAAAAATTAACTGGCAAAAAATAGATATAGCGCCAACTATTTTATTTTAAAAATTCTAAAAAAAAAATATTTCCCAAGAAAATAAAAATGTATCCTTTAGAGAAGGATTAAAAGTCTAAAAAAATGAAAAAAAAATTTGAAGTAAAAAGAAAAATTTTTGGAAGGTGTAAAAAAGATTAAAAATATGTATCGTAAATAAATTAAATAAAAAATAAATTTTAAAAGGTTTCTAAAAAAAAATTTTTTTAATGGAATATATAAAATAAAAATACTAGTAAAAATGAGAAAATTTAAAAGTAAAAATAAAATAAAGATAAAATCTAATTTTTACAAAAAAAAATTTTTTAACAATCCAAAAACTATTTTTTATTTTGTTCATTGGCCTATTAATCAATTTAAAAAAAAATAAATATTTTAAAAAATATCAAGTTTAGTAAATTAAAATTTAAAAAATTAATCTACCTTCTTTTTTTCTTATATTTATTAATTTAATCCCTCAAAATCATCCCTTCACCTCTCTATTTTCCAAAAAAAAAATTTTTTTTTATTTTAATCTGATCGTTCATTTTATTTTATTAGTATTTTCTTGTAAGATGCGCGAAAAAAAGTTGTTTTGTGTTAAACATTAATTTTATTATCCTCCTCACCCCTCCTCTACCTCGTCCCTTTTAACAAAAATTACCCCTTCCCCTATCCCCAAACTTTTATTTTTACCTAATCTAAACCCCCCCCCCCCGTACCTCTTTTTATGTGTGCCCTCTCTTTTAATAAAAATTACCCCAAACTTTTATTTTTAATCTAAACAACAACCCTTTTTAAAGAAAATGACACTTTAAATAATAAATAAAAATGTTTGACGAGAGAAAATGCGCCATAAAAACACAACACCCAAAATATTTTGAAAGACATTAAAAATATTGTTGCGAAAATATATATGTACATATTTACGCGCGATCACCTTTACTAATCTTTCTCTTCTTTACCCGTTCTCTTTTTATATTTTTAATGATATGCTTTTAACAAACAGAAAATGCTTAAAAATACAAAACATTGTTTGTAGAATATATAAAGAAGGTTGTAAAAATAAAAGAAATCAGAATTTGTAAAAAATATCAGAATTTGTAAAACAAAAATATCAGAATTTGTAGAAATATATCAGTTGTAAAAACCAGAATTAATTTAAAAAATCAGAATTTGTAAAAACAAAAATTAATAAAATTAAAGTTGTAAAGTTTGTAAGAAAATCAGAATACGTAAAAAATCAGAATTTGTAAAAAAATCAAAAGTTGTAAAGAAATCAGAATTTGTAAAAAATCAGAAATTGTAAAAAATCAGAATTTAAAAAAATCAGAATTAATATAAAACTTACAATTGTAAAGAGAAAAGTTGTAAAATAAAATAATTAAAAATCAGAATATAAAATTACAATTGTAAAAATTAATTTAATTAAATAAAATTATAAAAAGATCAGAATCTTTATTTACAAGTTTTATATAATCAGAAAGTTTAGAAGTATGACTAGAAATAAGATTGTAAAAACAAAATTGAAAGAAAAAAAGAGGAAAATGTTAATGTTTTTATATGAGATTGTAATCTCCCCTTATTGTTTTTATGTTTTGTTTATGTTGTAAAAATGTATTTTCTAATTAAAAAATAAAGAGAAAGATATCAACAATAAGAGAAATTTAAAATCCAAAGTCTCCTATACCCAATATTAAATCCTTTGGAAATTTTAAATATATATCTCCTATTTAAAATTTGAAAAATCATCAAAAATTTCGTTTGAAATTTTAGTATCAACAATACAGATTATTATTATTAGGGTGTACATTTATATGGATATAAAATTGAAAAATATGGACATAAAATATGGATATAAAATCCTGAAATATGGATATAAATATGGAAATAAGTGCTAAATATGGATATAAAATCCCGAAATATGGATCAAAAAATTGTAAAAAGATATTTTAAAAATCAGTATTTTATGTAGAAAACAATAACTTTGCCTTTAAATTTGTATTTTAAGAGCATTTTAACAGATTTTATGGATTTAAAATTTATGTTAAAAATTTTTTGAAAATAAATTTTTCCGACAAATTTTCGAAAAAATTTTTTGACCAAAAATTTCCAGAATTTTGAAAATTTTCATCAATTTTTACTAAAATTTAACAAAAAACGACATAATATTAATCAAAATATTCAAAAAAAGAGAAATATTGATATAAAATATGGATATAAAGGCTAAATATGGACAAAATATGGAAAATATGGACATAGTGCCAAAATATGGAAAAATATGGAAAATATGGATTTTAAAGACCATTCTAGAAACCCTAAAACAAACCAAAAACATGTTTTTCGTACGTTTCACAGTGATAGGAATTCAGGAAAAAAATATGGATTTCCATATAAATGTACACCCTAATTATTATTAAAAATTCAAAAAAAAAAGTTTTATTTCTTCAAAAAATTTTTCCATTTATTACCCATTATTTCTCATCCTTTATTTATTTATTTATTTATTTATTTATTTATTTATTTTAAAAATATTCATTTATTCCTTTTCCCCAATTCACAATATTCTCGTGCATATCAAAGTAGATATACCCAAAAAATTCCCTAATATGGCAACTTAATATTTATTCAAATTGTTGTCCATAAAATCCCCCCAAAAAATTTTTTTAATAATGCCATCATCATCATCGTTCTTCTTCTTCCCCCAAATTATTATACTTCATGCCTATACCTAAGAATATTTATTTATTTAAGACAATCATTTCCGCGCTATTCACTCATTTCCCCTTATATACTTTTTATTTATTCACTCAGCCAAATAATTCAAATTTTTTTTCTAGCCTGTTGCTATTTTTCTCCCCTTAATGACTTTTTACCCTCAATCATTAGAATGTCCTAAGATATGGCGTCACAAACACACACATATTGTTCTCAACTCAATCATCTTGTCATCATCTTTATTTAAAAAATTGTCTCAGTTCATTTTCTTTGCCTTAAGGCTATCTTTGGAAATTGAGATAAATTCAAAAACACTTCCAAAAAATTCCATTATAGTCTCCTCTAAATTCCCCCAAACACTTAAATCTGCTTCCCAGTTGCTTCTGCGCAACAACAAAGACAACATCTGTCTGTCTGTCCATGGAAAAAAAAATACAAAAGCAGAACACACACATGTTGAATAATCCCCTATAGGCAACTTTAACCCAAGATCTACCTAGAAAATGAGTAAATTGCCTAGCAGTTTCTCTCTTTTATTTTTCAAAGCAACATATGATAATAGCACTATAAAGATTGCTCAAAGATTTTCCCCTTTTAAAAACAATCCACAAACTAACTCATTAATTCACCGCTTTTTCCCTCTCCAAGCTGTTGCCGTTGACCTAAGCAACCCCCCCCCCTCAGCTCTATTCCCCTCTACCCTCATTGGAAAAATTTTTTTGAATAAAAATTTTTGAATATAAATACTAAATCTTTCTATATATATTTATTTTTATTAGTCTTAAAGACTTCTTTTTTAATTTAAAAATAATAATAAAAGAGCGGTGGATGAGAGGAAAGAGAGAGAATGGGCAATAAAAAGATGCGCAAGCCCTATTAATATTTTATAACTGAAGGAATGCCAAGCTCAATTAATTATTGAGGAAAATTTAAAAATAAAAGAAGGAAAAGGAACAGATGGAGAATAAGGAGGGATAAAGAAAAAATAATTTTAGAAAAAATAAGGGCCAAAATATAAAAAGAATATATAATTTTATATCACTTGAGAGGATAAACATAAAGGGAAGCAAAAATTGAAATAAATATAACGGGACGTAAAAATAGTATGTAAAATTGTGGAAACATTCCGGAAAAAGATAAAAACAAAAATTTAAGTGTAAGAGAATTCCGGAAAGAAGTGAGAGAGAATTACAAACTTGAATAAATCCGGAAAAGCAAGCTAAAAGAAAAGTCTATAAAATTCCGGAAAAAGATAAAAACAGAAATTTCAGCGTAAGAGAATTCCGGAAAGAAGAGAAATAACTACAAACTTGAATAAATCTCGGAAAATAGAGAAAACTAAAAGAAAAGTCTATAAAATTCCGGAAACATTCCGGAATTAAAAACAAACTTAAAGTTTTAAGTAAAGTTTTAAGTCAACACACTTAAAAACATTTTCAAAAAGAAAAGGAAAAATTCCAGAGTAGAGAAAATTTTTAAAAGAATTTTGGCCAAACAAAACAAACCATAAATTTAAATGTGTTTTGTTTGTCTTTTTTCTTCTCTCAATGATTTATTATACTAAATAAAATATATAAAATGTTGTTTTGTTGTTGTTGTTTGGACTCGCGCATCAATAAGCGAGTAATTAATTTACAGAAAGAAAAAAAATTTTTTTAAAATTTAAATTTAAAAAAAAATAATACTGTTTTATTTTAACTTGTTTATTAGAGCTATAAAAATGCGCAACACAAGTTCTTAAGAAAAATATGCCAAAAAAATATATATTATTATAAAAAAAAATTTCTGTCCCCATTTTTTCCTAAACAAAAAAATTTTTACCATGTCTAATCCCTCTTATTTATTCTTATTTTTACCCCTCAAATATTTTTATTACATAAAAACTTAAAAGAATTTTTTTTGCCAAACAGAACAATAAGAAAAAGAATATAATGTTGCGCAATTCGGCTTGTTTTTCACTTTTTTATTTTTTCTTATTATTATTTCTCACAGACCTCCTTTTTCTTTCTCTACTTTTTTATTCAAATAAACACACAACTGCTACTTTTTTAGAAAAAAAACAAAAAAAAATTAAAAAATTGGGACACAAAAATAAATGAGGACATGGAGAGTACTTACTTTTAAATTCAAAACAAGAATTAAAAAATAAAATTCGCTAAGTAAAAAAATAAAAAAATTAAAAAAAAGAAGAAAAATGCCCGTGTGTTATACCAAATAAAATTACCAAATAAAATTTTAGTAAAAAAAGATCAAAAATTTATTTTTTCATTTTTTCTAAATTCAAAAAAAAATTTTTTTGCTTCCAATTTTTTGAAACTTTTATTTTTCACAAATTCTCATATATCTCACTTTATTTATTTCTATTACAAAAATGCATAACGGAAATGCAGAGCCACAGGTGTTAATTATTATAGTAATAATAAATAGATAACCTTTAAATTTTGTGCGAATTTTACCCAAAATTTTATTTTTTCTCTCTCATTCTCTCTCAATTTTCCCAAACTTTAAAAAACAAAAACTTCTAATTATTTTTTCTAATATTTTTTTTCTAAATTACAAAAAAAATTTTTCCCTCAAAATTTTAACTTAGCTAGATTTCTTTCTCCATAAAACACAATATTACTCTCGAAAATCCATTAACTATAAAAAACAACCAAAAAATAAACAGATACCTATACCCTTCCTTCCCTCAATTTTTATTTTTTTGTGCTTCCCCCAGATATTATAATAAAAATTTTTTGAAAAAAGTTGCTTTTTCTCCCTAAAAAAGTAGAAGTTGATGGATGGATATGTTTTTTAAATAATAATTTTGTTTGTTTAGTATTATATTTCGATATAGTAAATAATAAATATTAAAAATCAAGGCATTAAAAAATAAGAAATTAATTAAGCCTTTTTTCTTAATGAAAAATATTTTTAAATAATGTACATATAAGAGAGAAAGAAAGAGATATTTAGCTAAATATAAATAGAGAAATAAAAAACCGGAAAACTTAAATATTTTCCGGAAAACTTTAAGATCAAACTAGAGAAAAGCGGAAAACTTTTTTCATTTTCCGGAAAAAGTTTAAGATCAATCTAGAAAAACTTTAATAAAAAACCGGAAAACTTAAATAATTTCCGGAAACTTAAATATTTTATCGTAAAAAGTTCCGGAAAACTATGGAAAATGAATAAAATTAAAATAAAAAAATCCGGAAGATCTTAAGTTTCCGGAAAACTTTAAATAGGTAATCAGAACAAATATGCACAACAAAATTAAATTAAAAATGCTTCCGGAAAGAATTTAGAAAATATATAAAAGAGGATAAAAAATTTCCGGAATTTGGACAGTATTAAAAACAAATAGAGCAGTAAATTGAGTGTGTGTGGTCCCTCTCACAAATTAAATTTAATTAATTTTAACTTAAACAATTAAAAAAAATAAATAAAATTTATTAGAGGTAAGAAAAAAATCTTTTTTTTTCTTAAAGACTAATTAATTAATTTTTACAATAAAACAATGTCTTAAAACTTAAAATTTTTTCTTTCTTTTTTTGTTTTAATTTGACTAATCTTAACCCAAAAACTAATTAATTAATTAGAAAAAAAATATATAAATCTTAGAAAAAAAAACTTGAATTTATGCTTCCTTTATTTTAAAATAATACACAAAATTTAATTTTCCCGCATAAATCTAAACAAACTCACAAAAACAAATTTTTGTTGTTAAACTAAACAAAAATATATTTTAAAATAAAAAAATTTTTTTTCAAATAAAAATTAAAAAATGAAAATTTTTTAAATAAAAATTAAAAATTGAAAAAAAATATAAATGTCAAAAATAAAATAATTTTTTTTTAATATAAAAAAGTGTTGATGGCATGTTTAAGGTACCATGATTTATTATTATTTGAGAAAAAAAAAGGAGAGAAACGTGTGCCAAAAAAAAACATGCTGAGAAAAAGAAAAATTTTTTACAACGATCAAATCACACATTGTTATAAAAAATTTTACTTAATAAAAAAAATAAGAGTCAAAATAATTTAAAAAAATATTATAATTAATTATTTTGTAATCAAAAAATTTTATTGTTAAAATAATTCATTAATTTTACCAAAAAAATATCTAAAAAAATATATATCTCCCTTAAACCAAAACTCCCTTAAATTTAAAAACAGCTTGATAACCTTTTTAAAAGTCCGACCTTTTTAATAAAAAAAAATTAATTTTATTTTAAAAATTTTTGTACTTTTAAAATTTTTTTTCTTTTAACATTTTTACATTGATATATCAATTTCCCTTCCTTACGTCCCCAAACATTTTTAGTAAAAAAAAGTTTTTTCCTATGTCCTTTTATATCTAAAAATTTTTTGAAACAATCTTCCCGTCCAATCTCTATATTAAATAAAAATTACACGCAAAAAAAATTTAAAAATAAAAGTCTATCATCTCACATTATTTCCTTATGATAATTATAACCTTTTTATCTATCGTCCCCTTCTCCCCAATTTTTTTCAAAAATAAACTCCAAATATTTTTTATTTTTTCTCACATACTAAAAACGCGCACTTTTAAAATAACGCAAAAATGTTGCAAAAAAAATTTTTTTTGATAAAAAATTTAAAATATTATTCTTTCCTATTTTCTTCCTTTTCTTGAGAATATAAAAAAAAATGTTTATTTAAAGCCAACAAAAAAATTTAAAAAATCTTCCCCCATCTTTTTCATATCTAAAAAATTTTCTTCTATCTATAAACATATCCTCCTTCCCCTCTTTAAAAATAAAATTTTGTTGTTTTTAAACTCTTTTCTTCCCGTGCCATTTGATACCCGTTACACGCATAAAAACAAAAGTGCGAAAAAAAGTGTGAGAAGGGTAATGGAAAATCATTTAAGAACCAAATCAGAACGATTAAAAGAACAGAATAATTATTTAAAGAAAAGAATAAATCGGTAAAAAAAATAATTAAAGCATAAACATAAAGAAATTAAAACTTAAGTTTGTCAACTTAAATTTTATTAAATCACTTAAGTTTGTAAATTAAACTTAAAGTTTTCCGTTTAAGTTGTAAACATTTACAAATTCAACAAACTTAAGTGTTTGAAATTTAAAGTTTATTTTTTATCAAGTTTTACAAACTTACAAACTTGAAAAAATATTACAACTTGTTTTAATGTTTTTGTGAAAATTAAATAAAAATAAACTTAACAAACAAAACATCAATAAAAACAAACAAAACAACACAACAAAACAAATAAATTATCTGAACACAACACAAAACTTTAACTTTTTCTTTTCTCTCTTCTTTTTTCTTAATTTTAATAACAATGAAAATAAATACTCAAAATTTTTCTCAAATATCTCAATTTTATTAAAAAAAATTTTTCTCACACACAAAAATAAATTTACATTTATTTTTGTTTTTATTTATTTATGGTTTATAGGGCTATATTTTGACAAAATTTTTGGACACAATTTTTTTACTGTTATTAAAAAAATATAAAATGCCAAATAATACATAAAAAATGCGGTAAAAATTCAAAAAAAAATTAAAAAAAATATTTAAAAGTACAAAAGACATAAAAATATCAAATTCAATTTTTCCCGCACAAAAAAAAATATTTTTACTTAGTTGGAATTAAAAAAAATTAAAAAAAATTCCCTATTTTAATCAAAAAACCTAGTAACAGTCAAAAAATATATAAACGGTTGCCTTAATTTATTAGTATTTTTTTTGTATTTCCCTCTTTTTAAAAAACTTTTTTTCTAAAAAAATTTTCAATTTCCCGCACAAAAAAATTTTTTTTCAATTCCTGATAGTTTTTATTGGGCGACGGCCAGAGGCCGGTACACGAACACACAAATTTATCCCCCTATCCCCCACACACGTTGTTTTTTTTTCTCCTTTTTTTTTATTGAAACCGAACACCAAAACAATGTAAAATTTACATTGTTCAGAGTAAATGGGGCTGATTTTTTAAATAAAAATTAGAAAAAAAAGACAAAACTTTTTTAATGTGAAATGAGGTAAAAAATATAAAGAAAATAGAGAGGAGGTCAGTAGAAAAATTTATTTTTCCAAGGTTTTTTAAAAAGAAAAATTTAGAAAATTAAAAACATCTTTCAATAAAATAACCGTGAAAAGTTGAGGTAAATAAATATATGTAATTTTATAAATTAATTAGATTGGCGATTTAAAAAAAATTAAATTAAAAAAAATTAAAAGAAAACAAGGATAAGAAATGTATGTGTGAGGTGTCAGCTTAAAAAAAATAAAATAATATTTCTACAGAAGAATAAAAATTAAAAATATGATCAGAAAAAAAAATTTTTAATTAAAAAATTTAAGAAATTAAATTAAAAATTATTAGGGTTAAAATACAAAAATCAACAAAATTTTTTTTAAAAAATCTGTTTAATAATAACAAAAACCCATTTAAAAATTGTCGCAATATTTTTCCTATTTTTCAAAAAAAAAATATCCTTTTTTAAAGTTAAAACAATAAAAAAATATATATTGCGTAAGTCTCATCGCCATATATCCTCCCCTACATCAAAATTATTCCTCATTTTTTCTTTGATCTTGAGCGAAAAAAAGTTCTGTTTTTGTTTCTTTAGTTCTCCCAAATTTTTATATTTAGTTTTGCCTACAGCACTTTTTTCCTCATTTTTAAAATAAAACAATATTAAAAATATGCCGACAAAACTTTTAAAAGTATTATTGTTATGTTTATATATACATCCCTCTTTTTCAAAACTTTTAAACAAAAAACTTTAAAAAATCAAAAATAAACATACTTAAAAATATTGCCTTTTATGTTGCTTTTTTCTTTATAAAATATTTTTCCACAAAAATTTTTTTTATTTTTCCCTTCCTATTTAAAAAAAATTTTTTCCCCTTTCCTTCCTCAAAAAAAATTTTTTTTTCTTCCAAAATTTTCCAACTGCGCCAAAAAAAATATAAAAATATCATAAAAAATATTTCAAAAACACCTGTCTTAGTTTTATAAATTACAGAAACAAAGTAAAATATTTTTTTTATTTTAACCTAATTTTTTTAAAAAATAAGGTAAAAAATATCTTTCAAATTTGAAAAAAAATATTCATAAATTTTAGAAAAGGGAATATTTTTTAAAAAATCAAAAGTCCTCAAGGAAATCCAAAAATAAAGATTAAAACCACAAATATTATGCTTTTGTTATTAAAACAGGTACAAACTTGAAACTTAAAAATAAACTTGTTTTTACAATAGAAGATTAACAATTTGTAAAACAAACATGTTTTACAATAAATAAACCTGTCTTGCTTTAAATAAACTTGAATTTTACAAATTAAACTTGTCTACAAAACAAACTTGTTTTACAAATTATAAACTTGTTTTGTTCTAACTAAAGTTGTTTTTACAAATGTTTTTACAAATGTTTTTACAAAACCTCACCCCCCCCCCCTCTTTTAAAATTTGTTTTTCTTAATCTTTCTCTCTCTCTCTAACCACCAAAAACACAATAACAACAACAAGACCACACAACAATACACATAAATTAGTCAACCCCCCTTTTAACTCTTCCCTTAAAAAACAACCAAAAAAACAGGTGTATGTACATGTATTGTTATAAATAGAGAGACATTTTTTTCTAATGTTCCAAATAAAAAAAATATTAGGGGTAAAAATCTCCTTAGAAAAAACAATTTAAATCATTTAATTTATTATTGTTCTCCTTTTTTGACTCTAACCAATATTTTTATTTTTATAAAATGTTTAGAATAGTAGCTCGCGCGAAGAAAAAAACACAAATCTTATAATGACAGGTAAAAAATAAAAATAAGAAAAAAACCCTCCAAGAAAAAAATAAAAAAAATTATTCACCCAAAAATTGCCCAAAAATTAAAATTAAATTAATAAAAGAATGAATAATCGAATCTCACGTATAAAATACACCCTCTCTGGACTTTAAAATAATTATTTTATATTTAGATTAGGGCTATATATCGTTCAAGGGATATACTCCTCCCCTCATCCAGAGACTATTAAAATAAAAAAAAACACCGTCTCTAAAGTAGAAGTAACCAACTCGATATAAGTAGAATGTTTATCTTATAATGAGATTCGACTGATTTTTTCAAAAAAAAAAAAAATTCCCCACCTCTCAGCATTTTATGCAAACAATGAGCAAAATCTTCTCTCAAAGCTTCCAATACTGGAGAACGCACCAATATTTGATCAAAAAATTCAAAGGGAGTAGATTGAAGCAAATTCCATTTTAATTGGTTTACTACAAGCATTTCCCAATCTAAAAGTTCGTCTGGTGTTATTAAATATGTTGTTGGTAAAACTGTTGTTGTTAATGTTGTTGTTGTATTAATTAATGTTTTTGTTGTTGTTGTTGTAGTGTTTTCTTTGTCTAAAGACAAATCTGCTTCCATTACACAAACATTGTTGTTGTTGATGTTTTCTTCTGGTTCACAACTAGTAAAGGAAATTGTAAAAACATGTTTAGTTATTGTAAAACAAATTTTTTTTGAAAATTCAAGTTTATTTTAATAATTCAAGTTTGATTTGTAAAAAAATGTTTATTTAAAACAAAACAAGTTTATTTATTGTAAAACAAGTTTTTACAAATTGTAAATCCCAGATTGTAAAACAGCTTGTTATATTCAAGTTTATTTTACAAATTCAAGTTTGATTTGTAAAAACAAGTTTATCAAAACAAGTTTTGATAATTTTAAAACATGTCTGTTTTACAAATTGTAAATCTTATATTGTAAAAACAAGCTTGTTTTTAATATTGAGTTCCATATTTTTTACAAATTGTAAAAATTGTTTTACCAATAACTAGCAATTTGTGCTGCTGACAAAGGTACAGGCGCCTTCAATTTTGAAGCAAGCAAAAGACAAGCAGCTCCTAATGCTTGAAGATTTCGTCGAGGTAAAAATTTGGTTGCCAATACTCGATCCACAAAAGCAACAGTTAATGGGAGAATCACAAAATCGACACGTTCAGCTTCGCAAACCTAGAATATTTTCTTTTTAAATTAAAAGTTTCTATAAAAAACAGACATCATTAAGCCATTCAACAAGTTGAGTGCGCGCCTCCTCATCAACTCCCCTTTCACCATCATTGCAATTTTTAATATTTTGCCGTTGTTGGCGACGAATTTGTGCATCAGTTACCTATATGAAAATAAAAGAAAAATGTTTTACAAACTCATATTTGTTTTACAAATTCAAGTTTATTTAATTTGTAAAATTGTAAAAACAAGTTTATTTTCTAAAAATTGTAAAAACACCAACTTTATTTTTTACAAATTGTAAAAACACCAACTTTATTTTTTACAAATTGTAAAAACACCAACTTTATATTTTTTACAAATTGTAAAAACATTATTCTTCCCCCACCTGAACATTAATTTCATTTTCCAACATTTTCTTCAAACAACGTTCATCCAAATGTATTGCCCTATCAACATCAGCACAAACCCATAAACGCTCCTTTTTATTAATTAAATATTCATCACTATCATCAAATAAAGATGATGTTTTTGTTGAAGAATAAGTGATTGTTTGTGGGGGAATTTCTTCTAATATTGCTGCTGCACGCCTTTTTCTAGACAAAATTATTTTTTGAGGAGATTTTTGAAGTTGTTTTGGTTGTTGTGGTGATTGACTAATTATTGTTGTTGATGTATTTTGTGTTGTGGTTATTGGATTAAACCAAAGACAATGAAGTAAATGTAATGGAGAATTCATTGACTTAAAAAGAATTCCCCAAAAATTCGCTCTTAAAAATAAACTTGTTTTGAATAAATAAAAACATTTAGAAAGTTGAAAACAAAACATTAAAAAGAAGAAAACAACAAGTTTTAAGTTTAAAAAACATTAAAACTTAAAAACAAAGTTTGAGATTGCAAACTTAAAACTTGAAAAACAATCGCAAAACTTGAACATTTAAAAACATTAAAAAAACAAGACAGCAACAAGTTTTAAGTTTGTAAAACATTGGAAAACATTGCTGTTTGTAAAACATAAAACAAGAAAAACATGTTGGTTAAAAACTCGAAAACATTCAAAACAAAACATTTAAACATAAATAAAAACAAACTTAAAAACATGACAACAAGTTTTTAAGTTTGTAAACTTAAAAACATGAGAAAAACAAGTTGAATAAAAACTTGAAAACAACGAGAGTAATGATTAAAATAAGAGAGTCAGAGAAATAAATTCTAATTTGGATAAAATGTCATTTAATTACAAAAAATAAACAAAAGACTAAATTTTAAACTTTAAATGGGTTAGAGTTTTAATTTCCACCCCATCCTTTTCAAATCCAGACACATTTATAAAATTAATTTTTATATTAATTATTAATTTCCCCCCAAAAAATTCTTTTTTAGGCAAAAAAAGCGCGTTCTTTAGTCTTTAATTATTTTTAAATATTTTTAGAAAAGACAAAAAAAATTTTTTTCCAAAAAGAAAAGTGTATTTATGTAAAAGGTTTTTTAACGTACATATATTTTAAATATTATAAAAAGGACGTTAAATTAATGAACATAAAAATATAAATAGAGAAGGAAAAAAATTTAAAAGACAGAAAAATGGTCAAAAAAGGGGAAGAAATAATTCCTAAAAAGGATAAAAAATCAAAAAAGAAAAAAATAATAAATAAAAATTAAAAATCGAATCTTAAAAAAAAATTTTGAAAAAATAAAAAAATTTTTTTCGGACAATTTTGAGTGATCCCCCCTTTTATTTCTCCCATTTTCCCTTCATTTTATAAAAATTAAAATTCAAAAATTAAAATCCAAAAATAAATTTCAAAAAAAATTTCAAAATAGGAAAATTAAGAAAAAAAAATTTCTTTCAGGATAATATTAAAAACAAAAAAAAATTTCTTCCAAATAGCTCCACTTGAAAAAAAAAAGAAAAGAATGATTTTGAGTAAAAGAAAGTGGGGGGCGCTTAAGTTGTTTTGCTCTCTTTTATTTTATTTAAGCCACACCCCTTTCCGTACGCTAGAAGAAAAGAAGAAGAAAACGTATGTGTCTGTCTTCTCTCTTTCCTTCTCTATAACAGTTGACTAGATTTTAATGGATAAAGAGAAAAGGAGGAGGAGTTTAATAAATGAATAAATATGGGCGGGCATAAATATTAAAATTAAATGAAGAGAGAAAAGGAAACGATTAAATTTTTGGAAGGGGGTTAATGAGGAATTTATTTATTTGATTTTGTGTACCGGGTGGTGATTTATGTTGAAGACATTTTTGATATCTTTTTCAGGTTTACAGGCCAGGGGTGTGCCGAAACAGATTTTAAAAAGCGAAACGCGAAATTAAATTTAAAAGCGAAACGCGAAAGTAAAAAAAACGCGAAAGTCGCGAAAGGCGAAACTGGCACACCCCTTCTGTTAAAGGCCCACAATATTCGTCAACTGAAACATAAATTTGAAGCAGATAATTTTTTGGACAATCTCGAATGGGTCAAATATACATTTGGGTCAGAATAAAAATATTCTAAAAGAATTATATCAGATTTAGGTAAATTTCACTTGTGTCAGAAGCAAGAGTCAGGGCGTCAGAAGAAACAAAAAAAATTAAATTTCATTTGGGTCAGACGTCAACTAGAAAAAACCATAAAAAATCGGGTTAAAGCTGAAAATTGAAATTTTACTTGGGCCAGATTCACTAGGGTCAAAGGGACAGAAACCCATAAAAAATTTTTTGTTTAAATTCCCCTAACATTTAAATATACTCCCCCACCCCCTTCTCCCTCCATTATACTCTAATCTAATTTTAATGCCTCAATTAACTCGTTTATTCAAAAATCTCTTCTCTTCGACTTAAAATTTTCTTGACATCTGCTTCTGTTGTTGAAGAGGAATTATTATTTTATTTTTTTTTCATTGTCTTTATCCATTAAATTAACCCCCTTCCAAACAAAAAAAATATTTTCTTCCTTCGCCATGTGGTGGTGGTCTTTTTACAGTTATATAATATTCTCTTACTTATCTTGTTGTTATCCCTGTTGCTCTTGTTTTTCCCCTTTAAATTTTAAAACCATCAGAATTCACAACGGGGGGTTATATTTTTATTTATTTAAATTTTTCTAGGAGAGAAGGAAGAAAATATGCGCGTATTAAACAATAAAAAGGGGAATAAATAAATAAATTTTAAAAAAGATTTTTGAATTGTAAAGACAATAGAATAATGTGATTTGATTTTAGGGAGGGTAATGATTGTATTAAAGAAGAAAAAAAGAATATTGCGGGAAATATATATGATTATTCCAATGCCAAGAAATTAAGGGGGAGAAGGGGGAAGAATAAAGAGATTATTATTATTAATGTTGTTGTTAAGGATAGATTATAAAAATAATAAAAGGGATATGAAAAAATTTTTATGCGATTTTAGTTGATATTTTTCTAGTTTATTTAGAAAAAATAAATTCAAAAAAAAATTGAAAATTTATAAAGTAAAGTCAAAAAGTGCATGCCCAACTGACAGTTGAAAAAAAAAATTTAAAAAAAAACACAACTCCATCAAATCTTAAATTATAAAAATCCTTTATATATCAATTTAAAGCTATCTTTATCCTCCACAAGATGATATAAAAAAGAATTAACAAAAAATTTTTTTGAATGAGTTATAGGTCTAGGAATCAAGTGAGCTCTTTAGCCTTATAGAAGCCAAGTGATAGTTTTTTGACCAAAACTCCATCTAATCTTAACCTATAAAAATACTTTATATATCAATTTAAAGCTCTCTTTATCCCCTACAAGTTGAAAGAAAAATAAATTAACAAAAATTTTTTTTGAACGAGTTATAGGTGAACTCTCTACATTTATAGAGGCACCACTGACAATTTTATAATCGTATCTCTATCAAATCAGAAAATATAAAAATCTGTTATATACCAATAGATAGCCCTGTTTATCTTCTATATTTAAAAAGTATAACAAAAGAATTTTAAAAATAAGCTGAATATATTTATAGAAGCAGAAACACTCCTAACTACTTGAACATAGACACAGCCCTTCAGTGAGTTTTTGACCACAACTCTAAAAAATCAAAAAATATAAGGATGTTCTATATATCATTAAATAGCCCATATTCTCCCCTATTAAATCGTATCAGAATAAAAAAAATAATATTCAATCACTACAAAGTTATACACTCAAAAACGCCTTGAACTAGAATAATACACACGGACGTACTCATCGTTTTTCGACCACAACTCTATCAAATCAAAAGATATAAGGATGCTCTATATATCATTAAATAGCCCATATTCTCCTCTATTAAATCGTATCAGAACAAAAAAATAATTCAACATCTCTACAAAGTTAAAGACTCAAAAACGCCTTGAACTAGAATAACATACAAACACCCCTTTTCCTCTCCAAAAAAAAAGATCAAAATCTCTCTCTCTTTTTCAATTTCCTAATTCTACCTACTAATTTTCGCAACTTATACAAGGTGTTAAAAAATTAATTCATTAAAAAGAAAAAAAACCCACTTAGCGATTTATAAATAAACACAAAATCCTTCCCCATCCCTCCCTTAGCCCTAAGTCCTCTCCTTAGATTTAACTCAAATTCCCCCCCCCCCCCCCTTCCCCTTTTCCCTTCAAAAAAAATTATTTTTTTTGTCGGTCAGATTTTTTCTTTCTTGTCTTAAAATTATTTTTGATGATCAACGTTCATCTCATCCGCTTTTTAAAAAATACACATACTTTCTTCTTCTATTGTTACACCTTTAATTCTCACATTTTTTCTCTTCTTTTTGTTGTCTATTTATTAAAAAAATACTTTTCCGTGCTTTTCCCCTTTTTCTCCCCGTTCCTCCTTGGGGACGATTATATTTTTTTTGCTTTTTGGAATTTTTAAAAAAATCCAAGACACAATATTTTATGCAAATTATGAATTTTATAAGCAATTTTATAAGAAGAAAATCACCCAAGAAAAAAATTATTTTTAAGAAAAAAATCGGAATTTTTTGCCAAATCAAAAATAAATAAATTTATTAGTTAGCTTTATTGGCCATTTCCCAGAGGTAAAAAAATTAAAAAAAAAGAAGAGTTGAGTTTTTTAAAAGAAGAAACACAATTTAAATATAAAATACAATATTCATGTTGCTAAATGAATAAATAAATTAGTGAAGCCAAAAAAAATTTTTTTAATTTAAAAATGTTTGGGATCAACTATCTCAACATTAGACCAACTAGACGCCAAAGCTTACAACTTTAGATTAAACCAAATTTTTTTAAACATTTTTGGTATCGTTTGACAGAAGAGAATCTCCTCTATCGAACGATACCAAAATCCTTAGAAAAAATTTATTCACAAAAAAGTTACAAGCTTTGGCGTCTAGCTAGTCTAACAATTAGTCTTTTGATTTTTAAAAATTCCCTAGAAAAATAAATAAAAATTCCAAAAATAAAAAAAATAAAAATTAATGATAAAAGGCGCCAAAAATACCAAAAAAAAATAAATACCAAAAATAAAAAATATATAATCTTCCATTTTTAGAATAATATTTTCAAGTCATTAAAAATCACCCCCCAAAAATGTTTCAAGAAAACAAGGCGCTAACCTTTGTATGTTTTTATAGTAAAAATAAAGGAAATAAAAAAGGTTTTTATTATTTACAAATAAAAAAGAGATTACTACAATTTTACGCTGTCCTTTTATGTGTATATGTTACTCAAAAATATAAAAGGAAACATAAAAACACACAAAAACCTTGTATACAAAA